CACCAACCAGCTCCCGCCTTTTTGCCCATTTTTGATTATCCGGGAGTGATGCGATGGTGACCATAGACTGATGGACGACGTGTCTCCTATTCCTTCCACTATGGAAAAGTGAAGCCAAAGCATCTCTGTATGGCTGCTCCCATTTTGAGTAAATTACGTCATTTGGAGCCCGAGTCTGCGCAGTAGAGATTCGTTTGGAGCCAGAGTCTGCGCAGTAGTGTCATGAGGTGGAGCCGCGGTATCAAACTCTCGCCCAAACTCCCGCAGACCCAATCAACTGTAACGACACGCCTCGTTTTTATAGCATCAAATTACTAGCTAAAATCAAACTTATCACAAAAACGAACAATTGAACATATATCAGCGTGATAACAACTACCTTAAATGACCAAAACCATCTTTCGGAAAATTGTATTGGAAGTGTAATAAATATTTTTTATTTTGACTCAAGTCCCATTCGTTTACATGGAGAGGGCGGGGTTTATGACCTGTACTGCAGCTAGTCACCAGGGGGCGATCAAAGAGCCTGCAGCTTCACTTTTCAGGATGTGTGAGGCACACCCGATCTGTCCTCACACACTCCATCTCTTTTTGGAAGCACAGCACAGTGCCAGTCTGAATTATTACCACTCAGTGGCTCAGTCTCTCTCTCTCTTTCTGGTACTGAGGGCAGAGGCACATGTTTAGATGATTGATAGATTTCCGCTCTTTTGTCAGTGAAGTGTGTTTGAATATGTTTGAAGTGTTGCAGCTAATATGCATATATAATATGCTAATAAAGTGGTTGGAAGCATTGTAGAAAATAATGTATTACAGTCTTGATTTTTTTTTTTCTGAACTGCAAGTGTCAAAACCAATTTTGTGAGCTAAATATTAGATATTGGCAATTAAATACTTAAAATAAATAAATAAATATATACATACATAAAATGTAGACAGCTATGCACCAGCCCTTATATAAACATGCTATTAATTATTCGATTGAAAAACGTTAATGTTACCATTTGATGGACGACATAAGTTCACAAAACTGAAGTAAAATGTAAAATTAAATTAGTTGTTTGATTTGTTATCAATTTGTTATTTAAGCAGTGTCTTCACATTTTGCTCTCAGCTTCTAGTGTAAATCAAAATGGCATTTATAATTGTATTACAATTTTGCATTGTAATACAATTTTGTTTCAATGTCTGCAGCTTTTTTTGTGCAATATGTGTCTGTTAAACAGAAGTAGCAATTTTTTCAACCTTTATAGCTCTTTTTAATCACTTAAACTGATGGTGTTCCAACTGACCTTGATCTTCCCTGTTCTCCACTATTAATTCAGTAAAACACCTTTACACCCCTAGAATCGTCACCACATTTCTCCCTGAATCCCTACCAAATCTACTGCAAGCTTTAGGAGGTCTGTTATCAGGGGAGGCAAGAGAGATGCGGCCTCCTGCTGTAACATTCCCCACTGGTGTCACTGTTGGAGACTATAACCTTTGAGTGATTTATACACTTTTTAACATAATATTTTGTAACATATTTTTTTATACTATTGATTATTTTTGTATCCAGTTTATTGAGGAGGCACTGCCTCCCTTGCCTCGTCGGAGTCAACACCCCTGCTTTCCAAGTGCATTTAACATAATGATCAAATGTTCAAAGGGGGAAGTCCTTAACTGATTTTTAGGCTTAATGGTCTTATCCACCTGTGTAATTTGATTCTTAAATGAATACAAATAAGTGTTTCACTGATACACAAACCCATTTCATTGGGTATCATAATGCAGAACACTTGACGTATCAACACTAATATTTCTGAAATTAAATAATCGGTACTGAATATTAGTGTCTTTGCGTTGTTTAGAGGATGCGGATACTATTGGTGTGAGAATTCCATTTACCCATCCATGAAATAGAAAACTATGGCATTGTTCTAAATGCATAGAATGATTTTATAGCTCTGCAGTGGCTTGATGTAAATTCTTTTAAAATCACTTTCCCCTGGAGATCCACAACCAGGTCCAGGTGAACAAAATATATAAGAACCAGAGGGGTAATCATACCACACTCCCTGGATGATTGCTTTTGCGTGCATCATAACGCATAAGCCCCATCAACGCCCAGCGGCAACATAACTTTGCGTATTGATTTGCTAAGAATTGGCAGACACAATGATTAGCTCTGTATGCCTAGGCTAATGGATTGTTTTATACTTCCCTTGCCCAAGAAACACTATCAGAGTAACCTTCAATTTATCATGAGAATGTGTGTTGGGATGACACTGAGCAGATCATTTCTTGTCAATGCTTTTGTAAAGCATCAGACTTTTTCAACATGAACAACTGACCCTCTGGATACAGATACCATACTGTCCCTTGCTGCACTCTTGCATTTACACAAGCAGTGATTTGATAAATGACTGTGCAGTGGCCTGATAACCCAGTCGAATATGCAGCCTTATAATACTTAAAGGAGAGTGCTACATGTCTAGATCTGCACTCCCGGGAGATGAGGCACCCACAGTGCTGGAAAATGAGTGAAAGTCAAAACCTGACCAAACCAACGAGATCATTTAGAAAGTGCTCCATTTTCCTTTGTCAAAAGTTTTATTTATTTATTTAAAGACTAAAAACACATCTGTTCCATCTTTATTTGACCCTCTAATTCTAGCACTTTCTATTCCATTTTAATTCTACTTTATCTATTTAGCTTCTTTTTTTATTTAAAAAAACTAACACTAGCTTTCTATTTTTTCTATTCTATATACTTGTTTTTCTTTGTGTGTGTGTGTGTGTGTATGTGTGTGTATAATATATATACACCTTGCTACGTGTACTGCGTTAGGTTAACCGAGACTTGTCATTTGCACTTATATACTGTTGCTCTTTTGTTAGTTTTGACTGCTTTTATTGTCCTCATTTGTAAGTCGCTTTGGATAAAAGCATCTGCTAAATGACTAAATGTAAATGTAAATGTAATTTTACTACCCTGAACTCTAAAAATATGTGGAACACTATGAAAGTTGTTACAAATATGGAACCAAGTAAACCACGTATATGTGTAATGGATGAGTTTGCTAAAGCAAATGAGCTGAACGATTTTTACCTTCGGTTTGAAACGCAGGATTTTTCGGATGAATGCAATCTAATTGTAGACTCTTTGGTATATGATGGGGATACTAGACTGGAGGTAGACAGTACCAAAGTGCAGTTATTGTTTCGTCAGTTGTGTACAAAGAAATCTAAAGGTCTGTCTGGATGGGATCTCTGCCCACCTTTTAAAAACTTGTGCGGTAGAACTTACTCCAGTTTGGTGTACACTTTTCCAACGTTCACTGGATTTACACAGAGTTCCTGCACTTTGGAAAAAATTTGTGATTACCCCAATACCTAAGAAATCACACCCATCTGAGAATAATGATTATAGACCTGTAGCGATAACTTCAATCGTTATGAAATGTTTTGAGAAATACATGGTGACTTTACATGGTGATCTTTATTATATATAAAAACATATAAAAGATTATATAAAATTATATTATATTGTATTGTATACTGTATATATACAGTATATACATACATACCTGATATGTATATATATGCAGGAATGAATCTTGCACAATAAGACCAAAAATGTTAATAGGGTAAAATTGGCTTTCATGTTTAAATGAATTTGCTTAATAAAACATTTTAATAAAAAATATTTATGTCTTCATACTCACTCATGTTGTAGTCAGGTGATTTAGCCACTGTTAATTACATTTTTGACCTGATTAAAACCAGTTCATGTCATGCTATCACATTAAGAACATGTTGAAGGAAACGGACTAAACTGACTTTCTCCCAGTGTAGAAGATACAGTCCCTGACATGTAAACGATAACAGAATGTGTTGACCAGCTGTTTCACGTCATAGCTTTGTATTTTCCAGGACTGGGTCAATCTGGTATGTAATATGGATTGTCGAACTCACACTCGAGTAGAACGGTTCTCCAGACACACAGATGACGTCTTGCTCTTGAATGGTGAGAATATCTTTGGCCAGGTGCAGACGAATATTGAAAGGCTCCTCGCTACCATCTTGAAGCAAATAAATCCCAGTCTTTGTCTGAAACAACCAGAGTCACACAAACATCTGTAATCCTCACTTGACAACATGAAGTTAATTAGCTGCGAAATTGATCGCATGATAAATAGCAAGGGCTTGTGTTTGCAGAGTCACGTTTGCCTGGCAGAGATACAGCTGAAAATTCATTGTCATTGCAGAATATTACTGCTAGACCATCTGGACTTGGTTATTCATTTGTGGAAGATGTTTTGCCTCTCCTCTCATCCAAGTGGCTTCATCAGTTATCTGATAGTGGATTAAACATCTTCACACCACACAATGTCATAATGACTGATGAAGCTTTTTGAATATATGACAAAATGTCTTCAACAAATGGATAATGAAGTCCAGATGCTCTTGAATACATTGCAGCTTGACAGAATGCCTGTCAGAGGCTTAAATGCGTCTTATCGGCTCCATATTTATTCAGTATTTACCGTAAGGCCTTTACTTCTGGAGATAAATGTTTGAGAAAAATTATATAAAAGTCATAAGGCACTGTGAGCACTTTAACTTCAAACTGCCTCGCAAGATGTAATTTTGAGCAATGAAACGTTCTTGTCCTACAGTAATCATTTAAAGTGCAGCAGAGAGGGCGAACTTAAATGGCACCGCTTTAACAGTTTTTAAATAACACTTCATTAATGGGAGTTTCTTCAAGTATTCCCACTTTCGGCCCTGTGGACTTGAAAATAATCTCTTTTCACACCATCATACACTGTCATTGGTTAAGTGTCTAATTTAGTGTTTAATGTCTAACAGTACATAATACACATGCAAGAGATGGGAATTCAATCATTTTTTGAAAGTTATGAACATTTCCACAACATCAGAAAAAGCAATTTTGGCATAATTAAATGGCCTATATTCAGGGTTATTACAGTTAAAACTGAAACTAAAATTAAAACCATATAAAAAAAACATCAGGTACTTTACTTTTCATTTTAATTTATTTTAACTTGATGTACTAAAATAACTAAAACTAAAGTATAACAATTAATTAAAACGTATATTTATATTTATAACTTATATTTCACTTATATAGACAAAAATACTAAAAAATAATTCAAAAACACAACAAAGTTACTAAAAACTTTAACTAAAATTAAAATGAAAACTGAAAATCTAAAAATAAAAACTGATTGAAAATACTAATAAAAATATAAAATATAAATACACACAAGTAAAAAATATTTTCACACTTTGTGTAATTGAAAAAAATGACAGCTTAATTAAAAATGATGCACAATAAAAAAAAAAAATCTGCTAAGTGATATCTATATGTAGCTTGATTTTTCTTTTGTTTTCTTCACATTTCAAACTTGTTAGTATTAATAAAAAAATTAACCTAAGGGACATAAAAGTGAAAAAACAACCTCAAACTCAATCTTTAGTGTGACATAATTATCCTCATTATAACTAATTGCATGATTTTGTACATTTACCGCATGGTAGCCAGTAACAGTCATGAAATCTGTCTCTCTTAGTTTATTATTTTGAACATCTTGATAAACTTTAAATAATTAAAATAATTATTTAGTTAGTTTGCTAGTCTGTCTATTAGAGGCATGTAAACATTTAGCCTTCATAAAATTATCTAATCATAATAAATTCAGAAGGAACTTACAGTGAAAAGAGACTGTATCCCTAGATAGTTTATTCAAGAACTTTTGTCAATACATATTTCATAATTTTACACTTAAATTTTTTTTTTTTGCCAACATCATGGTGCTTGCATTATTATTTCATTCAAGTTTTCTGATTTGAAATGTTGCATAAAACTGACTGTCTGTATATTTTGGCCTTTCCACTTGTCAGCACTGTAAAAAAAAACAAAAAAACAATAAATTCCTCAGGGACCAGTTGTGATGTAAGACTCGTTCCTATTTGGTTGGTAAGCAGCTGCTCATAAAGCAGGCAGAGAACAGAATTTTCTGTTGAGTCTGGCATCTGCATCATTGCACTTTCTTGCAAAGTCAGTCAAATACTTTATACCAGAATGAAATTTATTCCATAACTTTAGTTGCTAGGACACATGCTTGATTCTGTTGCCATGGCAATCAAGTGTCAGCCATTTTTAGTGTACCCTTGAGATTTTTAGTCAAAACATGCTCAGACATAGACTATGGCCATTCCAGAAGTGAAATTACTATAGTTTGTCTAGGAAGATTGCATTAATTCACATTAAGAAGAAGCGCAGCCAATATGATTCTCATATCGATGCTTCAGCAAAGTTAAAACACCCACAAGCTCTAAAAAAACACCCTACCATATTCCTTAACAAATGTAATCAAACATTTTATGAAAAAAAAAAAAAAAAAGCAATTCTTTCTGACCACAACATGTTGAATCTGGTCTTGCACATCATGTTTAAAAAGCACAGCAGTGTTTGTAAATAGATAGGAATACTTCTGTCTATACACACAAGACTTATCCTCCTCTGAGCGCTCATTAATCTTCCACACATAACCGCTCTTCTGTGTCCCCGTTTCTGAGCCCAAAAGCTATTAAATTTGCGCTCTCTGCATTCATAGTAGCCTTGTATCCCATCCCAAACTGCATTACTATAATGCAGGACCCACTGAATGTCTTGAATTTAAACATATCGAGAAGAACATCCAGATTAATGGACGATCAATATTTCTCAGTAGCCGATAGACACTGATATATAGGATATAAAGTACAGTCAGCCGGTCATTATTGCAAGTTTGCGGTGTTGAGAGCAATCGGGTCCTCCTCTGAAATCAGGAATAGTTTACCCCAAAATTTAAATTTGCAATAATAAATAATAAATAAATGAATCCATCATCATGACGTTTTTTAACTTCAAACCGTTGCTTCCAGCTAAAATCTGAGTCCTCTATCCATAATATTGCTTTCTCCAGTGAAAAATAATCATCTTGTCTGAATCAGGAGAGATATGTGCACAGATCAAGCACCGTTTACAAGCAGAAAACAGTTCTAAACCATTATTTGGGTGGATTCTGATGTGAGAGACAACAGGAGATGGACTTTTTCACTGGAGGAAGCGTTATTATAGAATATGGGCTGGTATTTTGGCCAGAAGCAATGGTTTAAAGTTAAATATCTCAATGATGGATTGTATCTAAAAAAAATGCAGATTTTCAATTATCGAGATGTTAACTGATGGACTGGAGTGGTGTGGATTACTTGTGGATTATTGTGATGTTTTTATCAGCTGTTTGGACTCTCATTCTGACGGCACCCATTCACTGCAGAGCATCCATTGGTGAGCAAGTGATGCAATGCTACATTTTTCCAAATCTGATGAAGAAACAAACTCATCTACATCTTGGATGTCCTATTTTCAGCAAATGTTCATGTTTGAGTGAACTATTCTTCTAATAGTCATACTAATTAGTACACACAAATTAGTTTAAAATGTGTTTATAATTGCTTATTATACAGTGCATAATAAAACGAATGAAATATAATTTATTTCACTTGATAAACTATTAACAATAACGATGATAATAATAACAAACAACTGAACATCTTTACATCAATTCATCATTTCAGTTACCCAGAAAAGCAACTGATATACAGCTTTGAAATATCTGATCAAGAGCGTCTAATAAATATATACATTAAACATAAAATAGGATTTAGCATAATGATGGCAAAGTACACTCTCAAAATAGCCAAATATTGATTATTCAGTCATTAAAGGGGTCATATGATGCGATTTCTATTTTTCCTTTTCTTTAGTGTGTTATGTAGCTATTTGTGCATGTATAAGATCTGCAGAGTTACAAAGCTCAAAGTCTCCCACAAAAGGATTTATTCTATCTAAAAGAGAAGGCTGATCCAGACCGGGCTAAAACGCCTCATTCAAACACGCCCCCACATCCGTCACGATGTGGAAATATTTGTGTAATGCCGCCCAACTGTTCACGCAAAGAAAGAAGGCGTGGTTTCAGGAACCGCAGTAGTGTTGATGCAGCCATGTCAGGGAGACGCTGTGTGTTTCTGTGCGAAAGCAAAAGCACTTTATTTGGCCTTCTGAAAGTAGATGGAACGAGGAATCATTGGTTAAGATTTATTTACAACAGAACAGCACAACCCAGATGTTCGAATTTGTGCAACGCATTTTATGGACGACAGTTTTGTGAACCTAGGAGAGTAGCCTACAAGGTTGGCTGTGCAAAGGCTATTTCTAAATAAAATGGGTCAAATTACGACTTTGCTATGACAATCTGGCGCTTATTCTGAATAAGCTAAGTATGTTTTCTTAATAGCCAAATACACAAAATAATGATCTTTAAAATAGCATCATATGACCCCTTTAATCCATATCTTCACAGAGTTTAATTATTTATAGCTAGATTAATTTTGTGGCATATCGCTTTTTACTTTCTATAACAGATCTTCTTTATAATCATTACATTAAGTCCTTATTATCATCAGAAAATTGAAAGTATTTCAGAGAATGAAACTGTAAATCTGTTGTCTGTTAAATAACTGTTTCCTAGTCTGCAAACAGAGGAATTAAAGCAATCCGTTTTTACCTAACATCTTTGTTCCCCAGTGGAAAGTCAACAAATCCATTTATTTGATCGATGTGCTCCTGCCTCCCTCCACGACTGCAGCGAGTATTTATTTGGATAGAGTTTTGTACAACAAATAACACTGAAATAGATCTGTTACAAGTTGTATGCGAACACTACTTTATCTAAAATAACAAAGTGTTTCAACAGCGGCATTTAAAGCAATACTTACCTCTTCATTTGAAGTCTTGAAATCCATGTGCTAAGGTCAGAGAAACAGCCCTTAGAGAGCAAACATGAAAAAGAAAACCGATCATAATGTAATGAGAACAAGTTGCATTAGCTCAAGCTAAATGTTACTGACCTTCAATGATAAATGGTGTTTGCAATGAAAGTTGCATATGTTGCAAAGAAAAGAAAAAATCATTATAGATAAATGAAAATGCATTCGAAATTAATCATTGGTTTGTTCATGCAGTGCGAGAGAAATACACAACTTTGCCTTGCGTGAAAGCGCATTTGGATGTGCAAAAATGTAATCAAAACTCTTCACAGCAAATTTGTTTTGACAAATAACAACAGCATCTGGACGTGCAAAGCCAAAGAGAAGGATGCGCTTTGATATTGGGTGTAAAAACTTTTTCTAAAACTCCTAAAAGTGCTACATTTTTATTTTGTCACTCCTTTGCTAACATGCGGGTGGCAGAAAAGATTAACCAACCATAAAGCAATAACCATTTCGGAATACGAATGCAAATGTGGCATTTCAAGTTGCTCGGAGGCCTACTAAATAATTCAGTGAGAGTTATTGTCAAACAATATATCAGCCTGTTTGAGATGGTTTCTGAACATGTACAGCAATTTCTGGTTTGCTGTACATGGTCTGCTTGAACGCTTCATTGTGCAATAAGGATATGGCATTCAAACAAACCCTATGGTCAAGGCTGGTGCTAATGTTATTAAACCAACAAGTGATAATAATATCTTTGTTATGGATGTCAAACCACGGTGAATTGCATCTCTAAAGTTCAGGATAATAATTGAATCATACTAATAATAATACAGTGTCGTCTTCTGAACGACACAGAAGGCTGAATCTTTCAAAAACACATCTAGATCACATTTTATCATAAAAAATATAAATATTTCCTTTGATTTTGGGATGAAATATGACTCAGACATGCTGTTTGTGAGATTCAACCAGCAACACATTTTCTGGTACACAATGATTTGTACTGGATGAATAAATCACTGGAGGCATTTCCTGCTGTGTTATTCCAGTGCTATTTTATAAACGTCTTAATAATTCATATTGCAAAAAGAATCACACAGCAGTAGCTGACCACAGTGCTGTTGCTGTTTAGAATTAAAATGCTGCTTAGAAGTACTAGTGAGTGCTAGGATTAAAACCGTCCTGAAGATTGCTTCACAGAGAAATCACTTCTGCTATTCCATCTCCCAGAGTAGCTCAAATTAAAATCACAACCAGCGGAGCACATTTAATCAGAACAATCTCATAATTTGCACAGTCTGAATCCACTCAGCGGGGCAAGTATGGAGGGATTACAGCTCTATCTGGCAGTTTTCTGTGGAAGCTTGTTTCTGCATGGGATACATTTTTTTGTATGTAATTGCAACTGTTTATATCACAATTTAGAGTTTACATCTCACAATTCAGTTTTTTTTCTGCCACATAATAAATGTGCTTTTTATCTCACAATTCTGTCTTCTTTCTGGCAATTCTGAGTTTATATCTTGCAATTCTGACATTTCTTCACAGAATTGCGAGTTTATAGCTCAAAAATCGGACTTATTTTCTCAGAATTCTGAGTTTATATCTTGCAATTGCATTTCTTTTGTTTCTGACATGGAATAAAAAATAAAAAAAGGTAACTGTGACTTTTTAACTCACAATTCCGACTTTTTTTCTTGCAATTACAAGTTTATATCTCACAATTCTGACTTTTCTAATCACAATTGCAAGTTTATATAAAATTGCAAGTTTATAAGTTTATCGCGCAGTTCTGAGTTTGTATGTAACAATTCTGAGTTAATATGTCTTAAATCGGAGTTTACACCTCACAATTCTATTGTTTTTGTATCTGCCACAGAGTAAAAAAATTAAAAAGGTTTTTTATCTCAGAATTCTGACTTTTTTCTCGCAATTGCAAGTTTATATTTTGCAATTCTGATTTATTTTCTCTGAATACTGAGTTTATATCTCGCAATTGCTTTTTTTGTTTCCGCCACATAATAAAAAATAAAAAAGTTAACTGCGACTTTTTATCTCACAATTATGACTTTTATTCTTGCAATTGCAAGTTTATATATTGCAATTCTGACTTTTCTTCTCAGAACTGAGAGTTTGTATCTAAAATTCTGATTTTATATTTCACAATTCTAATTTTAAATCTCGCAATTTTGACTTGTTTTCTCAGAATTTTGAGTTTATATCTCGCAACTGCATATTTTTTTGTTTCTGCCACAGAATAAAAAAAAAAAAAGGTAACTGTGACTTGATTGTGATCTCACAATTCCAACTTTTTTTCTCGCAATTACAAATTTATATCTCACAATTCAGATTTTTCGAATCAGAATTGCAATTTCATATCGCACAATTCTGAGTTTATATCTCGCACGACTTATTTTTTCAGAATTCTGAGTTTTTATGAATTCAGTCAGAATTCAATTTTTTTTCAGCCACAGATTTTTTTTCTATCTCACAATTCTGACTTTTTTTCCTCAGAATTACACTTGCATATCTCAGAAATGCAAGGAAAAAAGTCAGAATTGTGAGATAAAATGTTGCAATTACCTTTTTTTATTATTATTTTAGAAATCTAGTGGCAGAAACAAGCTTCCATGGTTTGCACTATATTTTGTCGGTATTCCGAACGCAAGGACAGCCTGGCTATTTTTCCCCACTTTAATCAGCGTGTTTTTGCTCTAAGAGTGCTTGAATGGTAAAATGTTGGAACATTTCTCCATAAGTGACATGTGGCATAAGATACCTTCATAAGCGAGATATACTGGCAAGCCCTTGGATTCCAAATTCCCCATTATATATAAAAAATTGACAAAAAGCCATCTCTGTGATGAACCTTGTCCTCACATGGAGTGCACTTAAGAGGAAATAGCAATCTGGGGCTCATAACGGAGAGGATATGTGTCTCCAAAGCAGCAATGGTGAGTACCTCTTGAGTGCCATCTGTCAAAATGAGCTACATGCCCCTTTAAAACCTCTGAGCTGGAGGAGACGTCGCGGATCGCTCAGAATTTCCACCACGGATCGATTCCAGCTAAGAAAGTCCTGGCAGAATACACAAGGCCTTCAGACAGCGGCTTTATGAATAATTCATTGCCGTGGCAAGAACGAGTGTTCCCTAATAAACATCTCTATGAGGTCTACAGGTCTTTCCACTCACGTGCCATCTGCAGCTTCCTTCATACGGACCGAGAAAAGCCAATAAGTTTAACGTGTGGCTAATGAAATCACTCTCATTGTCATCTATCAAAGACACGGCAGAGGAATGCGCAGAAGGACGCTCAATAGTTGCAGAACATTTTAAAAATATTCATTATGATTTTATTGATTCGATGCAACTCGAATCTGTTTTCATAGTGGCCTAAGGCAGTCACTAAAGCACTTTTTGGCTATAGAATCTAATAAACCAACATAACATGTCGCAAACAATGACAAAAGACACAGAATATGCTAGCTGATGAAATTAGTTTCTTCACGAATAAGAAACTTTTAGCGCTCTAATAAAGCCATAACAATGTCACAAAACAGGTCATTTTTCACCTCAAAAAAATTTAGGATATTTTGCTTTGTGACATTACGAAGCACATTTCTCCCTAAATTCGCATTACCATAATGCATTCAGACATTTTAATTTCATTTATTTTGACATTTTTATTTTTTTAATGGTAATTCTCATTAGATTATAAAAGTAATCATTTTTAATCATTTAATTTGTAAAGAATAGTTTATTAGAATGTAGATTGTTTTAAAAAAAAACATTCTATTGCATTTTTATTAATTCAATGAAGCTTGAATCTGCTTTCATAGTGGCCTAAGGCAGTCTCCCAGGCACTTTTTGGCAATAGAAACTAATAAATAAAAAATGACACCACAAAAAATCATAAAAGACACAGTATAACATAAATCTAGAAACATAAGGTTTGTTTTAAAAATTACCCAAATAAAAAACTTTTAGCACCCTAATAAAGTCATAACAATGTCAGAAAACATGTTTAAGTCATATTCACCCCAAAAAATTAGGAAATTTTGCATTGTGACATTATGAAGCACATAAATTCTCATTACCGTAATTCATTCACTAATTCTTATTATGTTTAATGGTGATTCTCATTACATTCTTATTACTCTAAGTAAATTATCTGAATTATTATTTTTTCTTTCTTATTACTTCTCACATTACAATAGTAAGAGTGGGAACCTATGCTTAACTGTGATGAAAATAAAGTCACAAAGCTTGTACAAATAATGGGTTTAGTTTTGTTAATGCAAAATATAATTTAATATTTTTTTCTATAACCCAGAATCATGAGATACTCCTTTAAACACTAGCACTTTGTATTTTATAAAACTATTACCATGTATTATTACAGTACTGGTTTATTAAAAACAACACCATATGCTGTACTGCAGAAAAAAAAATCAATACCAGGGTCATTCGTATACATTCAGAGCTCATTAAACTGCAATTGCAGAGGCTTGCGACCAAAAATAGAAATGTTGTTGGGTGTTCTTTACCGTGACTACATAATATACTATGTGTTGTTTCTATGCTTTGCTTTCTCTCAGTAACATGCCTGGCATTCAGCTCATATACAGTTTCACACTGACTCACTCGCTTTGCCGTTCTGTGAAAATGAGATGTGATTTGCATGCTAACAGGCCAGTGCAGTATGGCGGGGTTTTTTTTCATCCGCAACATTATTTTAATACAGGCACCTCATCGGTTTGCTGTCTCGCAACAATTCTTTGAGCCTTCTGGGAGATGTCGCTAACAATTCCTGACGTTTCCTGCATTGCAATGTCCATAGTGAAACACAGCGTTCCTCTCGTTAGTACAAGAAATAGAGCTTAATATGTTGTCTAATATCATGACAGCAAATTTTAATTTGGCTAAGATGTTCTTAAAGGAACAGTCCACTCAAAATTTAAATTCCAAATCACTGTCACTGTCCGTGAAACACCAAAGGAGATGCTGACACTGCTCTTTTCCACCCAACAAACAGTTATAGTGGCTGTCAAGCTTCAATAAGGACAAAAAAGCACCATAAAAATCCCATAAAGTAGCAACTGTAGCACTCAAAACTCGGAAGAACGAAAGTCATGCCGGTTTGGAATGGCACGAGGGTGAGTATATGATGACAGAACGTTTAAGATCCTTTAAGATCACCTACTCAGCAAAGGAGTCGATTTGTCAAGCTCCAGCTAGAGGCCTGGGTATTTTCAGCTTACCTCCAGGGAAAGATCTTCAGCACAGCACAGCATGGAGGTCAAGCCATGGGGAAGGAGGCCGGGGAGTCTTTGCAGGTGCTGGTTAAAGGCTGATGTTTTTCTTTTCTTCCTTTCTTTATTACAAGGTTTTGGCCCTCAGGCCCAGCCAGAGTCCTACAGCTGCTGGAGTAAAACAAAGAATTAGTAAGGTACAACGGTACAACCAATCGATTAGCAAGTTTGATTCGGTTATCTAGATTTTTTCTTTAATATATTTTTGCTCTTTTTAGCATTCAAACTTGAATTAACATGCAGGCAGCGTGCTGCGCTTTCACCATTAAGGCAGTTTGCACGGTAAAAGCTTCTCTAAAAAGTCGTTTCTTTAATTTCATCTCCTGCTGCTACAGAGTGTCATCTTTAAAATGCCCCACCATGAACGCTGTATCAAGTGAAAAATCAAGACTCAGGCATTCTGTTTCATTCAAAATAAGTCATCTGTCAAGCTGTTTTTTTTTTTCCGAATTTAGTTGCATTGGTCTGATTTCAGATGGAGGTCTGTTAGTTAATGCAACTAAATAAATTCAACTAACCATATAATATTGCAGTTAGTATAATAAAATTAATAGGCTTCAACTTTTAAAGCAATAGAAAACAACAAAAATGAAGTTCTGTCATCATTTACTCCCCTTCATGTCATTTCTTTCTGCTTCTACATTAAATAAGATGTTTAACAGAATGCTTTATGACCCTTCGGTATCTTATAAGTGCTTAAAGCCATATGATACCTTTGCCTTTGTGAAATGTAAGTTATTCACTGAAAATATTCCATTGCTTGATAGCTGTGGTAACTATTCACTTTCATTGTATAGTAAAGAGCAATTAGAAAATTCTGCTATGACTAACTCCTTTTGTGCTGCATGGAAGAAAGCTATTAAAACGGTTTCAAAAGACACGAGGGGGAATAAATTATAGTGAAAGTTTCATTTTTTTAGTTAAACTATTTCACTTAAATAGAGAAGAAAATGCTTTTTAAAAGCTTTGCATCCAATCAAATAATTTGGCACAAACTCGTCCAGCTAGTAATAATTAATATTAATGTATTTGTAAATGCATTCATAAATTAATTGATTAATATTAATATACATATAATATCAATAATGTTAGTATAAACACTACTCACATCAACACCAATAGTTATTGCTTTTAATACTTTTATATTATAATTTTGTAATATACATTTTACAATTTTATATTATATTAATACTGTTTTATATTTATATAATACTAGTACTATAAATTCAAATAAATCATGAAAATGTTCAGTGTTTGATGCAGTTTAAAACAGCTGCTCTATAAGATATTTTGGCCTCTTTATGTGAAAACGAACAAATCCGAAAATACTTGGTTAGTAATGCATTGTTGCTGTCTAGAGAACACATCAATCCCCCAGTTGTAATGGTTTTAGCTTTTCTTCAGGACTTTGAAAAGAAATATTGAATTCTGGTAATTGCATTTAGTGGCTAGCATTGACAGCAAAACAATCTAAAGCAATTGACATCTCCTCCATTGTGAGCCTCGTCTTTTTCTTCCTCGTTCTCTGAGAGAGAGATTCCGAACACACAAAGCACACAGTCAATACGGTTCAATGAAAACAGCGGGCTTCCAACAACATGACCAGCCTTTAGATTCATAATGTTAGTGCATGATTGCTTCCAAACTATTCAGCTCCGAGACAGTTTGCTAGTTTACGAGCATTATCTGCAGGAATAGCACAAGCATTAAACTATTACATCTGAAAGCATTCGGTTAAGAAGCCATGGATGAGCTCCAAAAAAAGTAACAAGACATATGTTTTGTAAATTGCCTACTGCATTAACTCAGTCTTGGAGTTTGCAGAGGTTTATTTCAACAGAACATAATGCAATGAGATCTCCCATCCTGAAGCTAATTTGTCCATGGCCGTTCTGTGCACGTTTCTACATGCTGAGTGAGCTCTACTTCACACATTTAATTTCACAACCCCATGATTTCCCCTCTGAAATGTCTAAAATAAAACCATTAATTGTCATTGTTAAAACTGCATTATGCATGGCCGACTCATATTTTGCTTCATATATGTGTGTGCCATTACAAAGGCCATTTATTAACTCTAAATGTGGGCAACAGAACATCTCGGCATGTCTTCATCCATTAGTGAACTATCCTGGCCGACTAACCTCTGCGTTTTTCGCTGGCTGACATCTTTAACCTTTTCTTGGATAAAATGCTGCAATTGTAACTATAACTTGGCTGTTGCTGTAAAACAGTTTATTGTGGTCTCCACCGGTCACAGTGGACTGGGAGCTCATGTACTTATCACCATCATAATGGCCAGACCGTTGGACCGCCACAAAAGCTATTCATTTCTGCGAGACCCTGGTGCAACAGCAACTCAAAGGGTTTACATTTTTTACTGAGCAACTAAGATCCAGACGAAATTACAGAAAAACGTTCTGGCAGTAACCGTGGAACTGTATTCAGGGCTCAACAGTGCAAGCGTTTCACTCACATTTGCGACTATAAATAGACGTGTATTGTAAAACGTATTGAGAAGCATGTGCGCGAGTCCTTAAAGGGATAGTTCACCCAAAAATGAAAGTTCTGTCATCATTTACTCACCAACATGTTGCTACAAACCTGTATGAGTTTCTTTCTGCTGTTGAATGCAATGGAAGCTATTTTGAAGAATGTTGGGAACCAAACAGTTATCGGTAGCCATTGACTTCCATAATATTTTTTTCCATACTATGGAAGTCAATGGGTACCGTCAACTGTTTGGTTACCAACATTCTTCAGAATGTTTTCTTTTGTGTTCAGCAGAAGGAAGAAACTCATACAGGTTTGGAACATCTTGACGGTGAATAAATGATGACAGAACTTTCATTTTTGGGTGAACTATCCCTTTAAAGAGACTTTGAAGTCCAAAAAAGTGCATCCATCCATCATAAAAAGTGCTCCACATGGCTCTAGGAGGTTAATACAGGCCTTCTGAAACAAAGCAATGTGTTTTTGTAAGAAAAATATCCATATTTAAAACTTTATAAACCGGAATCTCTAGCTTCTAACTGTCTTTCAGTTTAAACAATTCAGTTTTATGAAGTTTAAGGTCATAAAGTTTTATGAAATTTAAGGTTATAAATATCTTAAATAGTATAACAAATGTCATCATTTCAGGAGGTCTTAAATTTTGAGAATTGAAAATCAGAAATTCCAATACAACCTAATGTGATTATTAAACTTCAAAACGCTATGATTTAACTAAATACATATGGTCACTGCATGTTTCAAAGTAAAAACATTGCACTGTTGCACGTTTTATAGTCTTGGTTTCAGAGCAGTTTGCAAACAATGTATACCGTGCATTTATGCCAATATATTATTTATGATTGATGAATATGACAACGTTTACTTTATGGTGTTTATATTGTTATAACAAGCAATAGCTAAGCATATACATTTCAAAATAAGAGTCCCTGTGTATTTTTGGCTTGTTTATAATTAAAAGTCCTGCATTGTGCATTCGATTTTCAATTTTCAATTTTCCCCTAATTATTAAACTGTATTGGGCATTTAATTCAACATAAACTCTTCTGTCTGGGCTGCTAGTATAATTATTGTGCCAATACTTTTACTAGTAACAGCACAATAATTTGTTTATTACAGTATATATAGTTTATACCGTTTAAGGCATGCCTATAAATAATTACATAACTATTAAATACAGTTTGAAGCAGAAATATTTAAAAACCTAGTGTACTTTTTGTATTTTAATAAATTAATTTTTGCTTGTAAATGTCTCCTTGTATTATTTTTAAAGGAACCATTATTTGATCAATTTTCATTGCAGTTTTGAATGCGCTCCTAAATATTGAAACTTATTTCAACACATGTGCTCCATGCAACTGCACATAAAAACACACTGTGATATAAACCTTGCTGGCATGAGGAGCTGACTAACCATATGCAGTTAATGTTTCCTTTAGGAATGAATCTAATCTTCCCACCCGCATACACTCAGAAACAAGAAGTCAAACGGTTGGCTCGCCACGCTGCTGTCTGTGACGCTGATGCCCTATCAAGGTCGATGTTTTTCACCGGGTTTCTCTCAAGCAGGTGAGTGAACATGCTCCCATGAGATGTAAGCCAGAAAACCACATTTTATCTGTGTATTTCACAGCCAAGACACGGAGAGAGCAAACACACTCACACTGCTCTGGGCACTGGGCATTTCCACCGCCTGGAAATGAGGCAAAACCACCACTGCTGTGCCACGGTTCAAAGTGATTTTCAACCGTAGTGTTTGTTCAAATAACACGGTTGTTTTCTATTCGATATTATGCATAAAATGAGCTTATATTGGCTAAATTATATTGCTAGATGTATTCACATTGCTTTATTTCAGCAAGCAACTAATACAATAAATGATCTGAAGCTTATATTTACTATTAGAAGAGTCTGTTTTATGTTGCACCATCTCACAGCAACAAAAGTAATGCACTGTTTTTTAGCCTGCACTTCTAAACAAAAACATCACTTATAACAAAAATACTACCATGTTTTTTGGGCATGATCCATGTTATTCTTTGAACCATTATGTAAACGCATGGTACATTAATATGGTAATCAGTCAGTTGCATGGTATCATTACCAGAAAATTACAAATGATTCCTTTAATGTTCCAGTTTGTTCTAGATGGAAATGAGATTAATTGTAGAGCAAACAGAGACTTTTATGAGCAAATTTCATGCTTGCCCAACAATGTCTCAAATGTGCCAGATTAAGTTAAATAAAAAAATTTAAATAAATTAAAAGTCAAAGATCTCAATAAAATGTGTCTAATATATTACCATCTATAATATAATATTTAATTATATAAGCATTTCTGACTTAGAAGTCATTTCTGACTTTCTTGACTTTTAATTAAGTCAATTACTTCTAAGACAAAATTATTCAAGATATAACGCTATACTCTTACTGTATCAATGATTGTCTTATTTGTTTGTTTCTTTCATTAATATATACATGTATATATCATTACCAGAATTGTTTTTAATTACAAATGTGATCACTTTAATATCTCAATTTGTTCTCATAGATATTACATTATATATATTTGTGTGTGTGTGTGTGTGTGATTTTTTAAT